TGTGGCCCCTGTCCACCCCATGCCTCCACTAAGGAAAAGGATGGCAAGAGATTTTGCGTAGGGGATGAGGAGCAGGGAAAACTTGTTCAATAACCTTGGATTTGGGGAAACAGGAGTCCCAGAGGTGATTGCCAGCTCTCTTGCATGGAAATATTTAAAGGCAAGACACTGAATAAGGGTGCCTATGATGATAGAATAAAATGATAAGAACTGTCAAGTTTTCCCAACACCTAGTAGACATGTTGGCACACGACTAAGTATTAGTTGTCTAGGGCTACCATAGGAAGTATAATGAATCCTCAACTGACATCATCTATAGGACCTTGGAACCTGATTTCAAGCAAAACAAGGACTAATGAAACCTATTTTACCACAGGCTAATTGATATAAGTAAGAGATAAGTTCCTATAGCATACTTCTGGTCACAAAAACATCACCAAACTTCTAAATAAACACTTTCACTATTCAACACTGAAATAAATGTGAGTGAGCAATACATACATTTAAGAAAAATTAATACAAGTGAGATAATTATTTTCCAACCTGCTCATTGTGGTGGGTGGCGAGAGCCTTTCCTTGCCTCTCAGGGAGCAAGGCAGGAACCAACTCTAAGCAAGAGGGCATTCCACTGCAGAACTCACCCACCCTCAGTCATACTGGGACGATTTATATATGCTAGTCAACCTACTGTTTATATATGTATAAACACTTTAAAACTGTAATTAATGGATTGTTGGAGGCTCTGTGTGGACATGGGAGGAAGCCAGTGTACCCAGAGAAAACCCGTGAAGGCATGGGGAAGATGAGCGAATGCCACACAGATGGTGGCCCCAGGCAGGAATCAGTATCTTTCCCTGTCACCAATGTCATAATGAAACGATGTTGAATAAAACAATGTTATTCAAGGACCTGTTGTATCTTGAGCAAGGTGGCTAAAACAACAGAAATTTATTGTCTCACAATTCTGGAGGTTAGAAGTCCAAAACCAAGGTGTAAGCAGGGTTGTTTTCTTCCGAGGGCTGTGAGAGAGAACTTGTTCCATGCCTCTCTCCTAGCTCATGGTAGTTTGTTTAATGGCAACCTTTCATGCCCTTTGGTTTGTAGATGCATCACCCAAATTTCTGCCTTCATCTTCAGATGGCACTCTCCCTATGTGCTATCCCTTTGTCCAAATTTCCCCTTTTTGTGGGGTTACCAGGCATATTGCTTTGTGGCTTACCCTAAAGACCTAATTTTAACTTGATAACCTCTCTAATGTTTTAATTTCTAAATAAACTTACATTCTGAGGTACTGGGATTAGGACTTCAATATACCTTGGCGGGAGGACAGGGAGGAGCACAATTTAACCCATACCACGAGCGTAGAAATTGTTTTCAAAAAGGAGAGAACAACTCCAATAGAAATGAAGGAAGCATACCAACCAGCAGAATGAGGTTGTTTAAGGCACCAGAAAATGTGCCACGTGGGAATTTTGTGATGCTGGCTGGAGCATTCATCTCATGTATCAGGGAATGGCAGTGCTGAAGTTTCTGGATTTGGGTGAATCTCCAAAAATGTACAAAAATACCTAGGATAGAAAACACCAGCATTTGGACATTTGCTGCAGAAGGAAAAACCACCTCAATTTACAAAAGCCTTTTCTTTGCACCCCTAAGCTACCCTGAAGTTACCTCAAAGTAAAACTTGTGTGGGACATAGAGAAGTAAAAGGTGAAGGAACTAAGACAAAATAGATCATACCCCCTTCTTTCCAACCATATTTGTGAGTCAGTCAAGTTTATGCTGAGAAAGAGGATATTTTAAAGTGACTTAGAGGTTTCCAATCCAACATGGAAAGAGTTTGGAACTTGAAAATTGGTCAGTCCCATCCTTAAAACAAGAGAAAAAGTGAGTAAACAAATTCAGCAGCTCTCCTTAGAATTGTCAGAGAATTGTCACAGAGCAGACTGCTGACCCCCACCCCGAAAACCGTAGAGAGACAGACAGGTGGGTAAAGAGAAGCACAGCTTTCTGGAAACAGAAGCCAGCAGTGGAAGCCAGTATGGGTAGGACACTTTAAAACTGTAATTAATGGATTGTTGGAGGCTCTGGGTGGACTACCTTGAGAGTTTAAAACTCCAAGTGGTCCCAACCATGTGTGTGGGAAGGGGCACCCACACGTTTGTGAGTCTTCCCTCCAGGAGCCCACCAGGTTCTTTCAATGAAGACAGAAGAAAAATCTGACAGTGGGAGAGGAAAAGTGACCCTTATGAAACAGGTCCAGAGCTCTCTGTTTTCCTTAACAAAGGCTGCCTGTAAGAGAAACTATTTTACCAGAGGCTACCCAGCTGGGGAGTTCCCAACCTAGAGGAATGGAAATAATATCAGCCTCTTTTAGACTTCAAAGTGGAGGAAAAGTGGAAAACATGCAGGAACAGAAGGGTACTGTAAATAGATGAGAATGCTAAGAATCAAAAGGAAATATTAAAAATCAAAAACACTGTAGCAGAAATGAAAAGGATAAGTGACAATACAACAAAGGAAAGAATAAGGGTTGAGGACAGGTCAAGAGAAAGTTCCAAGAAAAGAATGAAAATGACAAAATAGGCTATCTAAGAACTGTGGGGAAATTACAAAAGGTGCCATATATGCTGAATGGGAATACTAGAAGGAAAAGAAAGAGGAAGGAACGAAGGAACTATTTGAAGTAATAATTCCTGAGAATTTTCCAAAATTGCCCACAAACCCAGATTCAGGAAGCTCAGAGAATTTCAAACATGCTAGATACTAAAACAAACAAGCAAACAAAAAACAAACAAATAAAAAACAAATCTATACTGGGTCATATATATTCAGAGAGCAGAAAGTCAAGAAAATAGAAAATCTTGAACAAAGCCAGAGGTAAGACAAACAAAACACCAACCTTCTCTACAGAGAAAAAACAAGAATTACACTGGACTTCTCTTGAGAAACAATATAAGAAGAGAGTGGAAGGAAATATTTAAAGTGTTGCAAAAAGAAAAAAAAAAAAAGCCTAGACATTTGTAACAGTGAAATTATCCTTCAAAAGTAGAGAAGAAATAAAGATTCTCAGACAAATAAAAATGGAGAGAAATTGTAACCAGTAGACCTGCCCTTCAAAAATTGTTAAAAGAAGTTTTCCGAAGAGATAGAAATCATGTAAGCTAGAAATTTGGATCTAAATGAAGAAAGGAAAAGTTTTAGAGAATATTAAGGAATAAATTAAGGTAAAACAAAATATTTTATTTTCCTTATTCTCAATGGATCTAACAGATAACACTTTAAAATAATATCAACATTGTTTTCTGTGATGATAGCTTATGAATAAGTAAAATGAATGACAGCAATGTTAAAAGGGACAGGAGGGAGGAATTGGAAATAATCTGTACTTTGACTACCCATGAAATGGTATAGTATTATTTGAACGTAGACCTAGAGAAGTTGTAAATATATTTTGCAAACTCTAGGACAAACAAGAAGTTTTTAAAAAGCCTAATTAATTTGCCAGGAGAGGAGGGAAACTAGAATAATAAAATATTCAATTAAAATCAGAGAAGACAAGAAAATTCGAAGAAAAAGAAAGAACAAGGGCAATGGATAGAGTATACTTAAAGTGATTTAGATCATATTGGACTTTTAAATAAGTAAAAAGAAGACATTCCAAAATATCCTAATATGACCAGAAAAGCCATAATGCATGTTTGTTGTATAAACCAGGGAGAGGGAAAAAGATCTGACAAAGCAGATTTGAATTGTAGCTGGTTGGAGAAATATTAGGTTTTCTGCTTGTTTTCACCACCGCCCGTCCATGAAATGCTGCATATTCAACATATAAGTTACATTCAGATATCTACAAGTTAGAGAAACTTTAAAGTTTAATACACTATGTTGAATAATTATATAAATATCTTTCAAGGTTTTAATGGTACTTCCTCATTGAAATATTAGGACTGTGTAATTCTTCAATCCCTTCTTGGTACTTTTCCTCTCATTCACATTCCCTTCCAGTTTGCATCTCAAATCCAAGCTTCTCTATTCCTGGTTCTTTACAATTTCTTCTATAAGTACAAACTTGACTTTCCTCTTTGTTCTAATCCTCTTCTACACTGATGTCCCTATTGTGGGCAACCTGATTATTTCCAAATATCCTCAGAAACATACTCTACTTTCCAGTCTTCATTGAAACTTGATATATTGGATCCTGAATATAGACAACTGGCTTTCAACTTGCATTTCAACGTCTTTATAATGAGGTCTCTCCCTCTCTCTCTCTCTCCCTCTCTCTCTCTCCCTCTTTCTTCACCATTGCTTTAACAAATCTTAGCAGTGAATGGACAACTATGTGATTAGTCCTTCAAGATCTCCTACCTAATCTCTGAATGGAGAGGTGATCTTGAAGCCTCCCCCAAGACAGTTATTCATTCTCAAAAGAAAACACAAACAATAGAGATTGATCCCAAGATACCTCAGTGTTGGAATCATTAGACAGGACTCTAAAAATTAAAATAAAATATCTGAATATTTTTAAATCTTCATATATTTAAAATAGAGATTGTGAAGAGAGAGTTAGTGAACTTGGAGAGAGATAAATGCAAAAATACCATAAATACATAAAATCAAGCTGTTTAGAACCAATAATAAAGAGAAAATCTTGAAAGTAGCCAGAATAAAATAACACAATCATATAGGGGGATAATGATCCAAATGATAATTATTTCCATGTCAGAAACTAGAGGCTGGGAGAGAATGAATCATCTTTAAAGTGCTAAAAGAAAAAAAAATCCATCAGTACAGAATCTTGTATACAGCAAACAATCTTTCAAGATTTTCATGTAAAAAAAAAATAACAATCCATCACTGCACTACACGAAATGCTAATGGAAGGGCAATACAACCAGATGTAAATTCATATCTTCAGGGAAAAGGAACATTGGCAATAGAAAATATCTCAGTAAATATAAAAGTTTATTTTTCCTCTTAATTCTATTAAAATAGATATAGTGCTCACTTTAGCAGCACATACACTAAAATTGGAACAATAGAGAGAAGATTAGCATGGTCCTTGGGCAAGGATGACACACAAATTTGTAAAGCATTCCATATTTTTATACTCAGAAAACTATAGAACACTGAAAAAAGAAATTGAGGAAGATACTAATAAATGGAAGCATATATGTATACACTGTTCATGAATTTGAAGAATTAACATTATTGAAATGTCCATACTACCCAAAGCAATCTGTAGATTCAATGCAATCCTTATTAAAATATCAATGGCATATTTCACTGATCAAGTGATCTAGAACAAACACTCCAAAAATGTATATGTGAGAAGGGAGCGGGGACTATGGTCCTGCAGAAGCTACTCCGGGTCGTCAGAAATGTGGGACATAAAATAAGTCGTCCGAGACACTTCTCTGTCTGCCAGGAGAAGGGGTGGCATTTCCCTCTAGTGGAGAAGGCCCCAAGCCCCTGTGTCCAATGGCTTTTATTGAAAGGGTTATCAGTGGAGCTAGGTAGTAGGAATGTACAGGTGATCTCATTACATCAGTATGTTAATGTTTACAGAGAGTAGATGATGTTTTGAAGAAAACAAATGGCAGGAACACACCTATTTACACGGTTCTGAGAGGAGATGGGTAAATATGAGAGCGTAAACAAAAGCGCCAAAGGGTTTAGGGTCAGGGTCTGTGAATAATGTAAATTTCCTTCCCAACATGAGCTGGTTATCATAGATTTTGAGAGAGAAACAAAGCATGCTTCATGCTCAAGAATTTACTCCTATGCCTAATTTCCTCCGGAAACTGGCCAATCCAGTTTAGGGCTACCTCCAGTATTGTTTCAAACCTGAGCCAGGCAGGGATCAGAGCCATCAAAAGATAAGGAGACTTCTTTCAGCTGGAATGAGGACCCAGGTCACATAAAAGTTGAGAGGTGAGGGTCTTTTTAGCCCTTTCTCCATGTCCCCCAAGTTCTTCCCTGATGCCCCTGTGTCTGTGCCTGTCTTAGGTTGCCCCTGCCATCAAGGAGTCTTACCCATCATTGACTAACCAGCCATCCTTGGGGGCCAAGCAGGGTGATTTGAGGGAGGCAGGGGCTGCACCCTTGCCAGGGGGACAGGTTTTGTCTCCTCAGTGGCCTATTTTCCCAAGACCTCCTTGCATAGCTCTAGTCTTGGGGCCCTCTCACCTGTCGGTGAGGCTACAGTTCCTGAAACCAGACAGGATGTTTCCCAACATATATGGAACCAAAAAAAAAAAAAAAACACCAATATCCTCGGCAATCTGGAGAAATTACAATAAAGTTGGAGGGATCACAATACATGATATAAAACTATACTGCAGGACCACTGTGATCAAAACAGCCTGGTACTGGCATAAGAACAGGCACATAGATCAATGGAATGAATAGAGAGTCCAGAAAAACCCATGCAGAAAAATCTATGGTGAATTGATATTTGACAAATGGAGCACAAGCAGAGAATGGAGTAAAAACTGTCTCTTCAATAGCCTCTTCACTGGTGTTGGGAGAACTGGATTGGTACATGCAGAGAAATGAAACTAGACCACCAACTTACACCATACACCAGAATAAACTCAAAATGGATAAAGAAGCTTAAATATAAGTCATGATACCGTAAAAATCCTAGCAGAAAACATAGGCAGTAAAATCTCAGATATCCCATGTAGCAATATTTTTGCTGATATATGTTGTAGGGCAAGGGAAATAAAGGAAAATGTAAACAAATAGGACTATATCAAATTAAAAAGATTCTGCACTGCTAAAAAAAAAATTATCAAAATTATCAAAATGAAAAGGGAACCAACCTCATGGGAGAATATATTTGCCAATGATACATTTGACAAGAGTCTAATCTCAAAAATATATAAAGAACTCATACGACTCAACACCAGGAAGATAAACAGTCCAATTAAAAAGTGGGCAAGAGACCTGAACAGACACTTCTGCGAGGAAGACATACAGATGACCCATAGATATATGAAAAAATGCTCAACATTACTAGCCATCAAAGAGATGCAAATTAAACCACAATAAGGTATCACTTCACTTCTTTCAAAATGGCTATCATTAACAAATCAACAAACAACAAGTGCTGATGAGGATGTGGGAAAAAGGGAACCCTAGTACACTGTTGGTGGGAATGCGGAATGGTGCAGCCACTGTGGAAAACAATATGGAATTTCCTTAAAAGTTTAAAAATGGAATTCCCTTTTGACCCAGTGATTACACTGCTGGGAATATACCCTAAGAATTCTGAAGCTCAAATTCAAAAGAACCTGTGCACCCTAGTGTTCACAGCAGTGTTATTTACAATAGCCAAGTGCTGAAGCAGCCTAAATGCCCATCAGTAGATGAGTGAATCAAAAAACTGTGGTGCCTTTACATACTGGAATGCTATACAGCAGAAAGAAAGAAGGAACTCCTACCATTTGCAACAGCATGGATGGAACTGGAGACTATTAGGCTAAGTGAAATAAGCCTGTCGGTGAAAGACAAATACCATACGATCTCACTTATAAGAGGAATCTAATAAACAAAATAAACTAACAAGCAAAATAGAACCAGAGAAATAGAAACATGGAACAGACTGAAAGTGACCAGAAGGGAGGGGGGAGGGAAGTAAGGGTGGGAAGAAGGGAAAGGGACTAGTCAAGAACATATATGAATGAGCCATGGACATGGACAATGGTGTGGGGATTGACTGTGGGAAGGTAGGCTGGGCGAAGGAAGGTAAAGGGGAAAAAATTGGGACAACTATAATAGAATTACAATAACAAATAAAGTGATTAGTGCAAAAATAAATAAATAAAATACATATAACCATTTAAAACAAAAATTATAATAATGTATGATGAGTTATTATATCTATTGATATAATACGTATTAAAGCTGTATCATAAAGGTCAGGGTGGTATAAGTTTTAAATGGACCTATACACTCATAGACAGTTAGGGACATGTTTTAATACCTAGAGAAACTACTAAAAATACAAAGATGTATAGCTAAAAAAGCCAATATTTATAGAAAGTTAGGGATGTATGTTTCAATACCTAGAGAAACCACTAAAAAATACAAAGATATATAGCTAAAAAGCCAATAGATAAGTTAAAATATATAAGAATGTTTATAGTAGTTTTATCAATAATAACCTCAAACTATAAACAGTGCCACTGTCCATCAGCTGGGAGTATAGATAAACAAACTTTCATATATTCATGCAGTAGAATATTAATTAGGGATAGAAAAGACCAATCCACATAAAACAACATTAATGAATCTGAAAAACATGCTTAGTGAAAGAAGCCTCATACAAATAAGTACATACTATATAATTTCATTTATATGAAGTTCTAGAACAGACAAAAGTAATCTATGATGGAAAAACTAGAATAAAAATACTAAAGTTGAAGTGTGCCTAGAAAATTCAAGAAGTTGCAAGGAGAACAGTGTGGCTCTCAAACACGTGATCAGAGGAAAGAGGGATAGATGAAAGAGGGAGACCAGATGTTGTAGGTCACCGATAAAACTTTTTACTCTCAGTGAAAAGGGAACCCAATAGAGGACTTTAAATTGCACTATGGCAACTCTAAGAATCGACTGTTAAGAGGTCAGTGTAGAAATAGGTAGACACTTTGGGAGGCTGTCACATTCAGCCAGGTGAACAATGATGGTGGCTTAGATGCACAACGGGGTGGGGATTGACTATGGAAGTAGAGGGCAGACTGGGTGGAGGGGGAAAAGGGGGAAAATCGGCACAAGTGTAATAACAAACAAAAAAATATTTTTAAAAAATATTAGATCTGTAAAAAATAAAAATAAAAAATGATTCACAGTAAAGCCCAAGCTTTAGCATACCATCTCTAATCCAACCATGTAGTAATAATAGATGAAACAAAACAAATAAAAAACAGAAAACCAGAGCTGGGTTTAAAAGCAAAATAAAGAGACCAGAAATGAAAAGAGACCAACATGTCCAAAACTGCACCCCTGTTATTGACTTCTGACGTGAGAGCATGAGAAGCTCCACTGACCTGCACCCCCAAGAAAAAGTTAAAAACAAACAAAATTTAAAGGCTCTAGGAGTGCAAGAGGCAAACAGCAATTCAAGAAACATCTATTCCACAAAATCTGTGAAAATCTGGCAAGAAAGGCTGGAGTGTGGTTGAACCAAGTCCTCTCCCTCACTCCCTACTTCCAGTGATGCGTAGTCTCCACTCTAGAGGGCTGCAGCCTTGAACCCTTTACCCCAAGCTTCCAATCTGAGGACTTTCTTCCTCAAAGGAGCACATTTCAATAGTTCTCCTCCTGCCCTCAACTATCTGTTGCTGGGGCTAAGACCCTGGCAAGTGCAGACATGAGGTGGGGCTCCCTTTTTCATCCAAACCCTCATTTATAGAATGGAGGCCCTATCTTAGGTGTGAAGCATTAAAAACAATGGGGCCTGGATAACCTTTGCCCCTGCTCATGAGGCAGTGGTTCCACTAAAGGAAAGGCAATTTTTTTTTATGAAATGCAACTTATCAATCATTTCTATTATGGTTTATACTTTTTGTACCCTTTTAAAGAAAAGTCATGAAGTTATTCTCTTGTTTTGTCCTAGAAGCTCTATTGCTTTCCCACTGACATTTAGAACTATGACCAATTTTGAAGTTTTTATATGTGATGTGAGGTAGAAATATAACAATTTTTTGTGTGTCTATAACATAATAAGTTCTCCATTTTGGCAAACAAATTTTCTCATCCTTGATGGCTAGTGATGTTGAGCACTTTCTCAAATGCCTATGGGCCATCTGTATATACTCCTTCGAGAAGTGTCAATTCTGTACATATCTGTCCAATTTTCCCAACACCATTTATTGAATAAACTCTCTTTAGCGCATTGCATGTGCTTGCTTCCTCTGTCAAATATTAACTATCTATAAAGGTGTTGGTTTATTTTTGGGCTCTGTATTCTGTTCCATTGATCTATGTGTCCATTTCTATGCCAGTATCATGCTGTTTTGATTACTACGGTCTTGTGGTATAGTTTCATTTTAGGTAGCATGATTCCTCCGGCTTTGTTCTTCTTTCTCAGGATCACTCTTG